CTTTGTTGATTGAACGACAAGATATTTTAATCGAAACAAGCTTAAAACATTGGAGAAAACTCAAAATTTATACTTCTTTCAAAACTCTAAAAAAAATCGAACGTAACTCTAAATTCGTATTAAAATCTGTAACAGTTATTTAAACTTTTAAATTAATTTTAAATGTTATTATTAAGAATTAAAATAAGAATAAAGACAGATTTAATTTTTAAATTTATATATCAAAAATTAATAAATATAATCGAAAATAAATTCAAAATGCAAATGATTATTTTCGACTTTTAATTTTCATCCCCGAGGCTTATCGAAATATAAATTTTATTTAATAACCGAATTTTTTCAGCTGTTTGCCGAATAATTCCGTTCGAAAACTTTTGTTTAACTCGATTTTTTTTTAAAATTTAGTTTTGTATACGAACGGACAATTTATGTATCACGTAATGTAGATCTAAAATGTGTTTTATGTTTGTATAAACGATAACTCAGGCCTTACACGATATATCCTATAAAATAAATAAATATATATATATATATATATCTTTGAAACGAAGATAATAAAATTTTTAATGTGAATTTTTTATTAAAAATATTTGAAAATCTGGAGACGTCTTGAACGATAAATGAAGAAGAAAGGAGGAATAATTGGTGGCAGATGCGAAGAGCATTAGGAAGAGAACGTTTAGAAATTAGAAAATGTGTTTCGCTAGCAATTTCCAATCGAAAAGTGTAAAGAAAAATAAAAAAAAAATCGCATTATATAGCGAGAGAGCCATACAAAGTTCCATAGTTCCTCTCCCGGGAGACGAGGCCAAACAAGAACTCCGATCAGGAGCAGAAGGAAAAACTCGACGGGATTCTTTTAGATAGCAACGTACCGTAAAAGAGCCCAGCGAACGGTGTAAGGGCTAACTAATAGGCATCATCTAAGTAACTGCTGCGATTTCTTCCGTTCTAGCGTGTCCACTTCGTCCAGAGAATGCTCCTCCATCACTCTGAAGTCGCCGTTTCTTTCTCCACGGATAACATCCCTTTGTACTTGCCATTCTATGCACTAGTAAAACGTTAGCCACGTCTTTATCCCTCATTTCTCTACCCTCTCCTTTTTTAAATCCACCTTGCCACACTTAGTTAAGTCGTTTCCATTACGAATAGCGCGTTTCTGAATTCCTTATCTAGAAAAAGAAAAGATCACCCCGCGAGAAAATCGCTTACTTTTTAAAATACCATTAAAGATATTTTAACTTTTAAAGCGATTATCTTAATTTCCTATGGTAAATATATGCTTTTTTCCCTCTCTCTCTCTCTCTCACTATCTAATTTAGATCGATTCGATCTCGTTCGAGTGTTACCCAACGATTTATGGTCATTTGGTTAATGTGTAATTAAACTGATTGATTAAGAATAACTTATGGAATGACTCGAGTTCTATTTATGGATAAATTTGATTATTAATCGATTTTTTTCCTGCTAAAATTCGTTGATATTGTCATTTTTTTAAAAGAATTGTCTTGTAAATTTTACATGAAACGAATGTCGGTTTTTTTGCGTCATAAAAAATGTAGAAATCTTGACAAAAACAAAAGTCATTACTTAATGATATTATATATTAATGTCACTATTCTTAATTAGTTTCGTGTATGATGACATTATTTTTAGCCGTAATCATCTTAATCAAGAGTATGTTGCTTGTTAGTTGACTATTCTTGGACTGAAACGACAGTTCTTGATGCATGATCCCGGCTAATATCATTTATCTAATTCGCTTCACTAATCGTTTGCTAATAATATATTAAACTAGTTAAAATATATTTTAAGTAGAGAGAAATATTAGCAAAATGTAAACTAGAACTAATTGATTTTAATATTATCTAAGGTAAGTGTCAACAACATTTTATCTTGTGTTAGGATAGAAGATATTTAAAAATGGCAATTTTTATGCGTTTTACTGTGTAAAAGATAAGAAAGAAAAGCGTGGAATTATCATAAAAATGTGCTGTTTATTTTATCGCTTCGTTCCTCGCAACTGATGGCTACTGTCTACTTTAAATTTACACATTAGTCACATAAAACACATCATTATTTACTCAATTGAGTTCTACATTCCATTTACTTATTTGATTTAATTATACAGTAATTTATATTTGAAACAGCATCGACTGTAAAGAAACGGTAGTCTATTCCGTTCGAAATTTGCGTTAAACGTTTCAATGAATTGTTATTTAAATCATTGTAAACAGACTCTCGGAAATATAACGAACTACATTGTCTCTTGGCGACGTAAATGCGGTAGAAGATTCTTCATATGAACAGTTATATTAAAAGTTTATTTTAAATCAATCGGAGTAGCTTTTGAAGGTTTAGAGAAGATTTTTGAGCGAAGAATTTTTTGGAAATTCGGTAATTCATATTCATTAAAGAGTCGAACGGATTTATCAATGCGACTGTTGCGATAACGAGGTGTTAATGTTCACTAAATCATTGCTTTATAACGACATTTAAATGGCTCGAGACACAAGGACAGCTTTAAATCGTTCTATTGATCCTGCGGCACAGGGTGGTAGTTTAAAGTGGTGGCAAATGACACTGAATGATGGGTACTGTCTCCGAGGTAAACTAAGGGCTACAGCAATTACGTCTATACCAATTTGTCTTATTTACAGGGTGTTCTTGCTTCCAGTTTTACCACAAAGTTCTTTTCCGAGTTGGTTTACACCTTTTCGGATAAATTGAATCCCGTTCGACGTTGCTGTAACCACGAGAAAACAACTTCAAAATATAAATAAAGAGCGCCGAATTGTATATTTATTTATATAAACTTGCCGTTTTGTACGATATTAGAAATAAGTGTTTACATAATATTCAATAGAACTTTGAGGAGTTTGGCCCAAAGAGATTGGATGAAGTGTGTTTGTTTAGCGAAGAAGAAACATTCGTTTCTTTAGAGATATTTAGTTTTATATTTTAGGCCGGTTTGAATTAAATATTCCAAACTGTATTCAATTTGATGAATATGCTTTAGAATTCGGAAAACGTATTTTTGGAACGGAATAGCATTACGATAAATGCGAGTTATTCCGGCAAGTTATCGCTTTAGGTAATCAGTCATCGACTGCTTCATGCTGTTTAAAGCATCACTTAGAATGTTATTACGCAGTAAGTTAATTACAATTGCTATTCACTAACAGTTCCTCCTGTCTTTGTTTGTCAATCACGATCTATTCAAGCTTCTCGAGCACGTATGAGATTAGTTTTTTAATTAATGACTCCAAATTTATCTACTTATTACATTGGATATCGGTTATATATGTTATTTAAATTACATTCTCATTCATTATGCTTAATGAGTGTTAATCAATTCTACTATCTCCAATAATTTTCGCACTTCGAAATATTTATTTAATTCAAAGAAGTAAATGAAAATTCCTTCGTTACTACTTAATTATAATAACGTCGAGCACGTTGTTTAAAACTCGTCGAAACTAACTGGAAAAATCATAAATCGAATCTTTAAATTTAAATGAAATTTTTTAAAGATAAATTCCGAGCTGTTTCTTTTTATATTTTGTAACACGAGAGGTAATACAAAATAGATGACAAGCTTGTATAATTTACAGCTGTTATTAATTGCTTCGAATTGTAAATTCGTTTGTTCCTGTCGGTAATCAGTTAGAAAAGAGTGAAACGAGAAACTACGTGTTCAAATTTTGATATATAACATGTTCATTAGATAGCGATGTCTCTTTAGCAATAAATCATCAAGTTCGACATTCCTGTGCTTTAAACAGCTTTGAGAAATGGCTTAAAAATCAATGCGTCAACTTCTTCTCCTAGTCTCACCAACCAAATTTTAACAATAATTATCATAATATAAATAAATTTCATTTAAAAGTTGATTTAATGGGAAATTTCAAAAGCTTTTACACTTGTTATATCGATAAATGACGGAAAAGACGATAAAACTTGCGATGAATCTTTATGTAACTGTTAAATTCTATTACTTCGTTCTTTTGCTTATCGACTATTAGAGAATTTACTTTAAAAATTACGTCTTTTTTCGTAATTCTATAGGGTCTTTGATGTAACTAATCGTGTCTGTTAGGGACGAGTGACACAGAATGACTCAGACCAGGTAGGGGTAGAAGCGGTGGAGATATTAGCATTCAAGTCGCAGCAGTCCTAACAGAATGGAGGAAGCCATAAAATTGGCCAGTTACATACACTGAATCGTTAATTACACACTAATTAATTACAAACCATAGTTTAGTACGACATGCCCTTTCTGACTCAGCGCACCTGCAAGGCACACGTGGTTTCGATATTCAGATTCGAAATATTCTTATGCACTTGTGTCTGTTGATAGCTTTCTATATTATTATTATTATTATTATTAATTATTTTTATTCAATGAATAATTTCTCATTTGCATAGCAATTTATTAATGCAATTTATCTCGTAAATCAGGCTTCCACGCTCAACTATAGAACTTTGCAGTAAAGATACATTTACAGGCGCTTGACGTCCGTACGAAAAAATTATGTTTTAAGGTAAGAATGACATAATTGTAACAAGAACCAATTTATTATAAATTGTTCTAGAAGCATTATTTTTGTTATGATAACTCTTCTTATTTTTTTTTGAAAATGCTTAATTTTTATTAATGTTAGAAGAAATAATAATAAACAGGAGAAATAAAATTATTCATTTAACTATTTTAATACAATTTACCTTGTCGAATTTTATGAATTTTTCTTCCTATTTTCTATAAGATAAATATGTATTGTGGCAATTATTAAAATTCTTAATTTAATAAATATAAAATTTGTCGTTCGTGACAGAAATTTGCATCTACTCGAGAAGAATTGACGTAAAAAAAAAAATGGTAAATTTTTTTTTATTACGGGCATTTTAGCTGTGTTGTACGATATTAAAGCAAGAGCCTACGATGTGAGAAACTAAAGTATTAGATGGTTAGATTAGAAAGAAGACGGGATCGTACTTACGGCAGTTACGTCCGGTGCAGGAGGGGGTGTCTCCTCTCGCTCCTTGTTCATAGGGGAAGTGCGACTAGGCCCGATCATATCCGGGACAGTAGGACAAGTCCTTCTATGCTTCTTGGCCTTTTGTCCCTTCTGTTCCTATATGTCCACTTAACTACACTTGGACGTTATAGACATCCGGGTTTACCCAGCGAAAAAAACGGACCTCGTCCGAACAGAATATTAAATTCACTTCGAAAAGCAGAGAAGATGTTAATAGAAGCAACGGAGAAACGACGAGGCCAACCTCTAGCCCTTCTCCCATTGGACGGTAGTCGAGGAGGAAAACGCGTCTCATTGGACGATGTTTCGTGAGTGAATTCCTGACAAATTGATTACTGGAACAGAGTTCCACTCCCCACATGTTACCTTGGAGAATGTAAACACGCTCTTCCCCGGTTGACCAGGACTTTTATACACAGACAGTAGCCCGTAATCTAGTTAAAAGCAATTCATTTGAGGCGGTCAGCGTGCAGAGTGGAGCGGTCAAGCTAAGGCTGGAGCAATGCAATCAACAGATGTAAGCCTAGTGGTCAGGAGTTCGCTTCTCTTCCCCTGCGGACTGACCAGTTGTGTACAAAGAGTGCGGTAGCTTCGACGACCTCTGGGGAATCGACAGAGCGACCGTTACTGGGTCTAACGAGGACCATTAATTACAGAACTACTCGCAATGCGATTACAGAGGGGTCAGACGAAGAAAAATTTTATGTACCGAAACAGTTTGTCAGTTAGTCTATTCGTTCGAGTTTGGCGTCCTAATACGATTTTCTTCAAGTCTTTAATGGGTAATTTCGTTTTGCTAGAGTTTCTTTCCTCCTCCTTTAATTGGATATGATCATTTTATCCGTTCCCCAGTCAATCGGGCTCTCTCTCTCTCTCTCACACACACACAAAATATCTGCCACCATCCCCTTGCAGGAGCAACCTCCGACGTACCAAATTCTTGACTTTTACACAATTTATCTCCTACCAATTTTATTACACACAAAGAAATATACTTAAAAATTTTTTTCCAGCTTAACATTTTAGGCACCGATCAATCCAAGGGAGGGTATGGCATTTTTTTTGTTTCTTTTTTGTTTAGGGCGAAAGAAAAATAATTTTTCTCCAAGATTTTAAAGTGTTAGACGATGAAACTAAATAGTTTCAAAACTGAATTTATGAAATTTAGAACATGTAAAATTGTTTTTGCACGGAAGGTTCTAAAGGGAAATACGTGGACGACGATAACAATACATAAAACATCAGGCAATGAAATGTTTATTAGTTTTCTTTACCATAAGAATGTTAGTCGTTGATTGAATTTATTTTGTAGGACATTTTCATTAGTATCGAATTCTCGTCCTGGTTGAATCTTATCGATACATTAAGGCTGGAAAGAAAGTCGAAAAATTACCAGCACGATGCGTGGTAATTTAGTCGAATATCTTTATCATGAATTAATAAGAATTTTGGTAAAGAAAGGAACATTTGTACCGACAAAAAAAAAAAAAAAAAAAAAAAAAAAAAAAAAAAAAAAAAAAAAAAAAAAAAAAAAAAAAAAAAAAAAAAAAAAAAAAAAAAAAAAAAAAAAAAAAAAAAAAAAAAAAAAAAAAAAAAAAAAAAAAAAAAAAAAAAAAAAAAAAAAAAAAAAAAAAAAAAAAAAAAAAAAAAAAAAAAAAAAAAAAAAAAAAAAAAAAAAAAAAAAAAAAAAAAAAAAAAAAAAAAAAAAAAAAAAAAAAAAAAAAAAAAAAAAAAAAAAAAAAAAAAAAAAAAAAAAAAAAAAAAAAAAAAAAAAAAAAAAAAAAAAAAAAAAAAAAAAAAAAAAAAAAAAAAAAAAAAAAAAAAAAAAAAAAAAAAAAAAAAAAAAAAAAAAAAAAAAAAAAAAAAAAAAAAAAAAAAAAAAAAAAAAAAAAAAAAAAAAAAAAAAAAAAAAAAAAAAAAAAAAAAAAAAAAAAAAAAAAAAAAAAAAAAAAAAAAAAAAAAAAAAAAAAAAAAAAAAAAAAAAAAAAAAAAAAAAAAAAAAAAAAAAAAAAAAAAAAAAAAAAAAAAAAAAAAAAAAAAAAAAAAAAAAAAAAAAAAAAAAAAAAAAAAAAAAAAAAAAAAAAAAAAAAAAAAAAAAAAAAAAAAAAAAAAAAAAAAAAAAAAAAAAAAAAAAAAAAAAAAAAAAAAAAAAAAAAAAAAAAAAAAAAANCAAACGAGTGATTTTTTTTAATCGTCAAAAACTAACGAAGTCACGCATATTGAGAGAGTTATAATACAAGAGAGATGTAGAACGATAAGAGTTTGGAAGGGGAGAGGGGGGGAAGAAAATCGAGTTAAAGATAATCGGTAGAAAATTAATTTTATCCAAACAAAACTGCGGAGAGAGTGACATCACGGTCGAAAAGCCGGGGACTTTTCGGGAGGGTCGTTAGTGTGCCGTTGTTTGGACAGGGAGAGGTAACCCAATTTGCGTGCGGATATCGGTGTCGGTCGCGTTTAACAGCAGATCTAGCAGCGAGTGGAGCGTGCATTAGTTTTAAGCTTAGCGGGGAGTGGACGGAGGACGAATTCGTCGTCGTCATTGTCGACGCGCCTCCGAGTGGAAAGCTGCCATATGGTACCACTGCCAATTAGACGGATCAAATGCGTCGATTGCCTAGTGTCGTCGTGATTACGTTTGATGTCCCGCGGTGGCCAATGACCGACGCGATAGGGTCTATGGAGAGGAGCAGTTAATCAGACCCGTTGGAGGCAGTAAACCGATAGCTTGCCCGAGAACGGACACCTGTTCGTAGTGTCCTCGTCGTTAAAGGCACACTTTCCGGTCCGTGAACTTCGCTTCCGAAACTCATTTCCGTCCCCGGAACTCCCCTGGATTGCCCGTTCCGTTGATGGGATTACACTCCGCAAATTCGTTTATTCGGTAGAAGTCAGGGTCCCGCTCCCCCTGACGTTTCCATTCGACTTTAAATATTTATTTTGGAAAGGCACAAAAACTTATCGACTGGTAATTTTCGGAGGATAAAGATGGTATTTTCCGGTTTCCGGATGAGAAGAGGGTGGAGAAGTTCTTTAATTTCGAAAAATAAACCGAAAGTAGTTTAATTGGCAGAATAGTTTCGATGGGACGTAAGGTACTGCGGATCTTTGTGATGGCGCGTGACGTCGAATCGTCACTATCACGTACGTCTCGTTACGAGCCGACGTCTGTACTACGTTCATCAGGTAAATGGCATTAAACATTAACTACCGTGCCCAACCATTCATTACGGTGACAGTGCCGCTAATGAGAGAGACGGCGATATTTTTAACTTACCCTACTCTCTTCTACATTTTAGGCTGATTGCTTTGAAATATTCAGTAGTGGCATAGAAGAAAGGTGCCGCTGTGTTATTTAATCTTTCTAGTTTCCGGCCGTGACGTCATTCTGGGGCGTTCTTCTCCCCCCATTCCCGTCCCTTATGATTAGGGTTAAGGGATATCGTAGATACGGTCACGCTTCTCTGACTTCTGGCCATCTAAAATTTAAACCGTTGTCTGGCCGATAAAAGGCCTCGCCTACTTCAGCTTCCTTTGTAACTTTCATCTCTACACAACGTCTTTTATGAACGCCTTCCCTCGTTACGGACCTCTTCTAAACGTAACGTTTCCGAGTTTAATCTCCAAAAATTTGTGTCTTAAATGCCATTAAAAATTCCCAGAATGTCTTCTTGGATGTTTAATAAATAGAGAATTTATTATTCTTATTCGTATCGAGGTGAATCGTTCATTCAATTAAGCTAAAATGAACTTGACTGATAGGCCTATAATGTAACGCTACATTCTTCGATGGGACGTGTCGATCACGTGACGCCCATCCGTTATAACGTTACGCTAACGATTGTTACGCACAGATAGAAATCGGATTGAATTTAACGTCTCCGGGGACTTGTTTGTATAACGCGTACGATTCGTGGGGACGTAGGACCGCGACACCCTACAGAATTTTACAGTCCGGTGCCCTCGAGACACAATAGCGTCGACTAAATGGAAATAGGTAAAGTTAGCGAACAATGATCGAGTGCGGAGGGACCGAAGCGGAAGATTATGTTATGTTCAATATCTAAATGAATAGGCGTTGTACGTCGATTGGATTTCTGCATCGGTCCATGTGATGCGAACGACAAATACGCGTCTGGTCTTTTAAATACGGACCATACACCTCTTTACGAATTTATTTACAGGTAAGAGGAATTAGTCCAATTTTCCACCCCGTTTCGACTACGCAATGAGTTACAGGAAGCGCGTAACTGTAGAGTAAAATGGAGAAAATCCAAGCGTAGAACAACCAGTTAATCACGGATGTTAGATTAATTTTTAAAAAAAAGAAAAAAAACACACAATTTAAATGCCGCATTCTCTAATTTTCGCTCTTTTAACTGCGAATCTATTCATATTTTACATCCCTCCGATCGAAGTGGTAACGCGTAGGCGATAATGAACAAGGTTCACAATATGCTATACATCCTCGTATACTTATCTCATTACAGAAACCGGTAGCTCGAAAAGCCTTAATACACTCTCTCTATGTATGGAGCGTGATGTCACGGCGTCACGTGATCGTGTTTAGTCATTGATCAACAATCACCGGGGGTCATGTTAATTTCCAAATGTGTTTGTTCACGGACGGGTCCCGTGTTGACTGTCGAAAATCGAAACGGGAAGTGGAAGACGCCTTTGATCCGGAGTGTGAAATTGTAGCGGATGCGTGTTTGTCGTAGGAGAGCGGGTTCGCCGACTTCCGACTGTCTATAGACTATACGTTTCCTCCCGACAGAGGAACGTTCGATTGAAGTCTGTAATTAAAGCAGTCGAAGCTCTTTATATGTAAATACGGATACGTTATCTCCTATATTATATCATTAATAACCTGCCTAATTATTAAGCGTGACGAAGGTAATGGTCTCCTTTGAAGGAGTTTCCTATACGAATGCGGAGGCGAGATCAAAGGGATCGAAGATAGACCGATGGGAACATTAAATTACAGAGGCCTGACGCGGGGTTTCGAATCCCCCGAGACACTCCTATAATAAAAACTCCCATTAAGAGAGCGGATAGTATTTATAAGGAGAAAAATTCCACATTTTTAATGTTAAAGTTTTCGAGAAGTTTGTTTATTAACGTCCTACGATCGTGTAATGTTTGCCATGCACTAGAAATAATCAGTGTTTTGTAACTGAATATTAAATGAATAGATTCTACCAACCTTTGATTGAAATATTTATTTATATTCTCTTTATTCCCTACATTTTTACAAATATCACTGGAAATTAAATTGGAAAAAAAAATGTAATAGAGAAATA